AAAATGAACATTTGAGCACGTTTCAGGACAAAATGAACATTTGAGCACGTTTCAGGATAAAATGAACATTTGAGCACGTTTCAGGACAAAATGAACATTTGAGCACGTTTCAGGACAAAATGAACGGTTGTAGTTTAAGAACCAGCCTCTGTCTTTGTGCTGTGAAGTTTTATTCGCAGGAGCAGCTGCTCAGGTCGATGCAGACGGACTCGTCTAATTAGCAGCTGCACCCGTCGCTCATCGGGGTGTGATCCGACGCGACTCGGGCCGGGGGGGTCGGTTCGGGCTGCGCTCGGCGACTGGGCGCTTGTTTACGTCGGGACAAAGAGGAAAAGTTAGTTTTTGTCTGTGTGTTCCTGAACCGTAAGGTTCTCCTGTTAGTTTTTAAAATAAAAGTGTTGCGCAGCTGAAGTGGTGCGTGCAGCGAGGGGGGGGGGGGGGGGGCAGTAGCTAAAGTGACGCCTAAATGAGAAGGAGAATGCTGATAATGGCTTTCCTCACCTTTCTTTGTGGGTGTCGAGGGCTGTCGGTATCCACACATGTGCACGCCGTGCACGCCGTTGCTCCTTCCAGAGATGGCAGCTCCCATTTCCTCTGCTTCAAGGCCCTAATTAACCACACAGGGGGGGGGGGCAGTGGGAGATTTCAAAGGACTCGGCGTTTAGATTCTCCAAGCTGAGCTCATTAGAAACTGTAATGACACAAGTGGAGAATGCCGAGTGAGCGTCTTATCTGCTGCTCGCCACTGATCGCCCACAAACGGCCTCATTACTTCACCAGTTCATGGTCATTTCCAGGCCTTTGTCAGCTAAAGCTCCTGGTTAGTGTGCATGTGTGCGTGCACGCAGACTCGTACAATCCTCTTCCATACTCTCTTCTTCCATCTCAGGTGGCTCAACTCTTTCAGCCTCACGCGCTTCGTGGATCTGTAGCTCTTTTCTCGGCTCCGGACATTTAATCTGTCCGTTCTGTTCGGCCTCCTGCTGCCGTCACCAGCGATAAGGTTCCCGGTAACGCGGCTCTGCTCCGGGTCTCCCTGCATTGTCTCTGCGCAGGAGGAGAACCCTGGACGTTTGGGGGAGTGGCAGCTGATAAGTGTGGTATTTGAAACGAGGCGAAGCGTTCGTTCTGTGGGAGCGGCAGCTCGGAGCGATAACGAGCAGAAGCTGAAATGATCCCTAATTGTTGACGGATTCCGATTCAAATGATTTCTGTGTGAAAGATCCTGATCCGTTCTCAACGTTCAGACCCGTTTCTCTTCTGCGCGTCCTTCAGCTCGTCAGTTTGTGTTCAACAGTTCATTTGGATCAGAACATTCGGCTCGTTCAGGACGTTCCCGCTCTTACTTTTGGCTTCTTTACTTTTCACTTTTTGAAATGTTTATCTTTGTCGGCCATGTTTTTCTCATTGAACATGAATAGAGCTCTCTAAAACCTTTCACTGCTCATTTCAGCGTCGGCTCTGCTCAGAACTTCAGCTACTTTTTAAGTAGTTATCTGCTCATTTTAGCCTTTATTTAGCTTTTTTTCTATACTATTTTGCTCATTTTAGCTTTTTTTCCTGCTCATTTCAGTTTCTTTTTTCAGATTTTTGTAATCTATTCAGCCTCTGCCTATTTCAGCTTCTTCTACACATTTCAGCTGTTTTTCGGCTGCTTTCAGCAAATGTCAGCTGTTCAAAGTCAACTTGCATCAACAGTTTAGCAGTTAAACCTTTTCAGCTGCTTCCAGCTTCAGCACCTTTCAGCAGAATCATCCACGCTGCATTTTCACAGGAAATGACATTTATTTATTTATTTATTTTATTTATTTTGGGCGTTCTTGTGTTTATCACTTGGAACAAAAGAAACTGTTCCGTCTCTCGGTTCATTAAAAACATCAATAACAAGATTTGTCATAAAATCCTGGACATGTCGCCGGTAAATAACCCCGGACAGCAGCAGCTCTGATGGAGCCGTTATTAGCAACTCCTGACGGAGAACAGCCTGGAAAGTGTAAGAATATAAATATTTATCAGATTTAGAAAATTATTATAATTAAACTGAGTAAAAACCATTTGATTATATCAACTTTTATTTCTGCATAATTAAAATAACGCATTTTCTTTATTTGAACAGGTTCGTCACGCTGAGACACAAATGTCTCATTTATAAGAGAAAAAAATTAATCTGTACAACCAAAAATTACTTTAGTATAAATATGTGCATTTTAGCTTATAGTACTACCTTGAAATACTTCATTCAAATTCTTCCTGCTGCACCATTATATTCCACCATGTTGTTGCTCAGTATTTCTCTTTGGGACATTGTAAATATTTTAATTAATTACTTTTTCACTTTTTGGTACTTTTTTGTGTGTGTATCCTTATTTCATGCTTTTTTGTTTTTTCTTGTTTGTTCTTTGTTTTTAGTGAGTCAAATCATTTCTTCTCATCCTGAGCATTTCATTGTACTGTTCACCTGCATATGACTAATAAACACAACTTGAACTTGAACTACACACACATATATACACACACACACATATATATATATATATATATATTAGTAGAAAGTTCCACTGAACTACCACATGTGATCCATTTTAACTTTGGATTTGACAGTACTGTGTGTCGGGTCCTCTCAGCTGCCACTGAACCAAATTTCAGCTCAACACAGAAAAAAATCTGAGATTGTCTTTTTTTTTCTTTTAAGCTGTGGTGGCCATCTTGGATTTATGTGATGGGTTTTGCGCTCAGCTACAAATACACCAACTTTCAGCTGAATAGCTCTAAAAACAGCTGAGTTATAGCCATTTGAAATTGGCATTGGCGGCCATCTTTAGTTTTTAAAATTTAATTCAAAATTTGTTGTGCATCACAGTCAGGTATCACCACACCAAATCTCAGCTCAGCATCTCCAAGAATGACTGACTTATAGTCCATCTGTCCATCCATCCATCCATCCATTCATCCATCCGTCCATCCGTCCATCCATCCATTCATCCATCCGTCCATTCATCCATCCGTCCATTCATCCATCCGTCCATTCATCCATCCGTCCATTCATCCATCCGTCCATTCATCCATCATCTTTACCCGCTTCTTCCATTTCGGGTCACTGGTGATCATATCCAGCTGTCACTGTGTGAGAGGCGGGGGACACCCTGGACATGTCTCCAGTCCATCACAGGGACACATAGAGACAAACAACCATTCTCTCTCACCTAGGGACAATTTAGAGTTACCAGTCAGACTAACATGCATGTTAGTGGGAGGAAACCAGAGTACCCGGTTATAGTTAATTTTGTATTTTCTGAGGTAGCTGTGAAGTTGAAGGAAGACTAAGACCCTTTTCAGGCGGATAACAACAGGCGGCACCTTCGGGTTATAAAAGGTGAACAAACGGGTCAGACTAAAGTCCACTGTCTAGTTCTTGGGTTATAGGTCACATTAAAACTGGTCTGGTCTTTACAGGTTCTTCAATCATTTAACTCTGACCTGGACTGAATAAACATCCAACTGTTAATTTTTATTAAACAGCAACGGAACCAGAATGATAAAAACTGGTTCCTTCTAGGGGTGGGCGATATGGCTCAAATATAATATCGTGATATTTCAGAGCGTTCAGACGATAATGATACATTTTGTGATATAACAACAAAATAAAAACAGAAATCATAGTTATTCATTTGACAAAATTAACTTAACATGTTGCTTTGCAGTATTATATAAAAACTTAAAAAACAAGGGTACTGAAATTACTTTATTTAGTAAAGTATTCAGTCTCCAAGTATAAAAAATAAAAATGATCCTTCTGTTATTTAGATTGAAAAAGTCTGCACAAAATATAGATCGATAAATCCACAAAATCTAAAGTGCAGGTGAAGTTTCCCAAAATAACTAAATAAAATTAATTTTAAGATCTGTTGAGCATAAATGTAACAAAATATAAGTTTCTTTAAATGAGCTATAACTTCCAGAACTTGTAACAAGGTGATCAGCTGACCCTGAAGCTTGAGGAGTTTCAGCTTCATCTGTTCCTGCAGGAGTGATTCATTTCTCTGATGCTCTGTCTCTGATCACATGACTGTCTCTGATCACATGACTGATCACATGACTGTCTCTGATCACATGACTCTGTCTCTGATCACATGACTCTGATCACATGACTCTGTCTCTGATCACATGACTCTGATCACATGACTCTCTCTGATCACATGACTGATCACATGACTGTCTCTGATCACATGACTGTCTCTGATCACATGACTCTGATCACATGACTGTCTCTGATCACATGACTGTCTCTGATCACATGACTCTGATCACATGACTGTCTCTGATCACATGACTGATCACATGACTGTCTCTGATCACATGACTCTGATCACATGACTGTCTCTGATCACATGACTGTCTCTGATCACATGACTCTTGATCACATGACTCTGATCACATGACTGATCACATGACTCTGTCTCTGATCACATGACTGATCACATGACTCTGTCTCTGATCACATGACTCTGATCACATGACTGTCTCTGATCACATGACTCTGTCTCTGATCACCTGACCCTGAATTCAGCCGTCTTTACGAGTGTTCCAGCAAAACTTAGTCCAAGAACTCATGACAGAAGATATTTACGAGGAAACGGCTCTGAGATCCGTGCGGCTGTTTGTGGTGGAGCTGCCTGGTAGGTAGTACATCTCGGCAGCGTAGGACACGATCCCGCACCGTCAGTCGGAAACAGCGGTGGTCTCTTTGTGAATGGTTTGTCCACGTGAAAAAGAACGTCTCACAACCCTGTCAGCAAGACGGGGTGTCTCTGAAGTCTGAGTCTAAATTAGCTTTGTTCCTGCCTGTTGAAGTCTGTTTGACAGAAACAAACTCTGTGCCCTGTTTCAGGAGGTGACTCAGGAGAGCGTGGCCAACTACAGCAACTTGTCTTTTGAGGAAGTTGTTCAAGAACTCATCAAGCAAAAAGAAGTGGTGAGAAAGAAAGACGCACACATCAAGGAGCTGGAGGACTACATCGACAACCTGCTCGTGCGTGTGATGGAGGAGACGCCGAGCATCCTACGGACGCCCTATGAGCCAAAAAAGAAAGCGGGTAAACTTTCTAAAAAGTAGAATAACAAAGAATAAAACCAACAAAAGCACTGGATAAAATGATGCTGTTGAAGAGATCATTCATTCTTCATGTGGGTGAAGCTGTGGGAGCAAATGGAACAAGGAAGTTTGGTGTCGAGGTATTAAGTTTTATTTGGTTATGATTTTTTATACTTTTTTCAATGGCTTGATTTTGTTAAGTCATACAATTTATTACAATTCATCCAGATTTATTACACCTACATCATACAGGTTT